ACAAGATCCCTTTCCCCACAAACTGAAGCATCATTAGCAGCAACATTGAAACAGATAGCAAATTCACAACTATCTCCAGTCCAACCATAAGGGCAATCACATACTCCTGTAGAAAGACACGGACCTCTTTTAGAACAAACATTTGGATCCAAGAAGGATCTTCCACCACATTTCAATGGCTCATCACACTTACTTCCAGTAAATCCTTCAGCACATTTCAAAGAAATATCCAAAGCCATGTATTTTCCTGTCGTGTCCTTAAAGACAATATCTCCTTGAGAAGTCTTGAAAAGATTGGTGAGTAAAAGACTTGTTTTGGTATTGTCCAAACCAATTGTTGCAGCTCCTCCAAGGGTCTGTCTACCTGCAACATCGTACAAGATTCCATTCAGTACCTTTCTTATAAGGTTATTTCCTCCATCAAAGAACATTAAGGCACCATTGTAGTGCAATAGTGTGGAATTGAGATTTAAACTCAATAAGGATGATTTTGCACTCTTACCATCTCCAGAATATCCCTTTGATGTACCTACACCAGCTGTTGTCGCAATTGTTGAGGTTCCTAATAGGTTAAACTGACGTATAACATGATTGGTTGTATCCACCATAAATAAATCACCATTGTCATTGATGAGAAGAGAATTAATGTACCCAAGTGTAGCATCTAACGGCTTTCCATTACCATTGCTAAAACTCCATGATTTTCCAGATTCTGTATAACCTTTACCAGCAATGTGAAAAAATTGAGTTTCTCCTGTTTTGTAATCAAAGACCAATTTAAAAATTTTACCAGTATTTTGCTCCACAAATATAATTCCTTGTGAACAAACTTGAAAGGTTTGAATTTCACCTGTGAAAGTTCCATACGTTGTTGCAGTTTTCAAATAGGAAGCACCAGTAATAGAACCAGTAATTTTTTGGGTAAATCCTCCCTCTGGAAGAAATCTCAAACTCTTGGTACTATCAATAAAATAGACTATTCCATTGTAATAGCGCATTTCTTCTACTGTTGATTGAGTAAAGTAACCTAGTAAACTAACAGCCTTGGTTTGAAAAGAAATTGCCAGCACTTCTAGGGTTGTTTCGTCATGATAAATCAAATGTGATTCGTTTGAAACAAACTTTCCTCTAGGCATTGGAAAGTTAAAATCTGAAACTTTAAATGATGTAATTCCTGTACTAACTGTATTATTACATAGTGGGCCTGCAAATCCATCATAACAAATACAATTATCTGTTCCTCTGCAATAACCATTACCACTGCAAACACTGGAACTATTTCCTAAAATATTAAAACAAGTGTCAACATGACAGTTATTTCCATAATACCCATCATTACAAACACAAGTGTCATTTGCAATGCATTTTCCCCTACCACTACAAACACCTCCATTACTAGCCCTTGCTCCAAAACATGTAATTATGAGTGACTCGCAGTCAGTACCAGTATAACCATAGTTACAATTGCACACTTCTCCAGTTTGACAACTACCATGTCCAGAGCAAACTTTCGAGTCATTGAATGGGACAGAATTGCAAAACAGAGCAACTTCATCACAATTATCACCTTTCCACCTATTATCAACACAAGTCAATCCATAAACTAGTTTTTCAATCACATTATTATCTATTTGGTAAAATGTGTTGTTTTCTCTTCCCAATCCAAACTCTGCATAATCAGAACAATCTAAAGTCATTACAGTCTTGAAAGTGGTACCATCAAATTTCTTCATAAATCCCTTTTCATACCAGAATATTTCATTATAATTTGAAATGTACATTCCCTTATAATGGTTCATTCCAGTGGCCAGAGTGGTTTTGGTACCATCTTGTTTGAGTTTGACAAGATTTTTATAAGTAGAATCACAAAAAAGCAAATCACCATTGGTAGTAACAGTAAAGCAACTATAATCTGTGGGTACTGATTTGATATACACTGACCAGTTAGTTCCATTAAAATTGTCCAGGTTTGTGAGTTGGTAAAGTGTTGTTCTACTATACAAAAAGAGACAGTCACGAACCGGATCGTATTGAACTGTAACTGAATATTGGAATGGTGTGTTATACATAATCGAACTGTCTGGACCAAATATGAAAACCGACACAGAGGAGATGTCTTGAATGGCATAGCAGAATTTTTTCCCTTTTCTTTGCACACATTTAATGTTTGAGATGGCATAAGAACGGTCTGGATCTGGAACGCCCATACGAGTACTACTAGAAATACCAGTGTTCATGTTCAATTTACGGACACGAGATTCATCAATATAGTATAGAAATTCATCTCCTTCAACATCTGAAATACCATATCCTGTACTACTAAAAATCAATCCTTTATAATAGCTACCTATTTCTCCTTTCTTACCAAATACTGTTGTTCGAGATGTAATTCTATATTGCTTGTTGCAAGAATTACCATAGTAACCCTCGTTACATGTGCACACATCTGTGGCTGAACATCTTCCGTAACCTGAACATACCAATGCATTGGTGCTAGCTAGGCCAAAACATGTGGTGGTAGCTCCTTGCACTGAATCAACATGGTATTGAGTGAAAAACAATAGTGCTATAATAAGTGCAGCTATTAAGCGAGCATACCTTAATGGTTTCATTGTTTTTCAGTTTGGTATTGTGTTGGTTGGTTCTTTAATCGTCAATAGACCCAATCAACAAAAGCCAACAACATCACGCGGTGAGTTGGGTTCATCCATTCCAAATTTGTAAGAATATACGGTTCATTAGTCCTAATTTGAGCAAATTTAACTCTGCGAGTGAAGATACCTGAAGATACCTGAAGCAAAATGAAACAAATACTTCCATTTTCGCTCAGTGTAGATTCGAGAGGGAAAACCTTAATGCTCAAAGCAGGCATGACTGGAGCAAGATGGCTAAAAAAATGAATTCAACGCAACACAATAAGGTTTTCTTAGCATACCTTGT